GAGAGGGGGATTATTTACCATCACTGAGACTTCTTCATAAATGTAAGTGACTTGAAAAGAAATCATAATATTATTCATCTTTTTGGTCTATTGTAAAGCTATGTCCAAACAGAGGCAACAACTACCAACTTTGTTGGCTAGCAGTGTCAGGAGTTGTTGTGTCCATTTGCAGGTAGCTAAAATTTTCGCTGGTTTTAAACTTTGTGCCACAACTCTGGTTGTTTTGAATTGTCAAAAATAGTTAATTAAGATGATTTAGGTTATGGCTTACCTGTAAACCTAAACATCAATAGGACTTTGTTTATTGTATGCTCTTATCTATGTGAACCTTTGCATTTAGCAGTCATTTAATGTATCGTGCAAATCAGCGTTAACCCTCCCTCCCTACCTGGGAGGTTTAAACTTGTTCTGGCTCATTTGCTTAATTTTTGTCAATAATAAAGATTAGAATTTTTGCCCCATCCCATTTTCAAGTCTTTTCTAAGTTTTAAGTATTAATTCCAACAGCACACAACAACATGCAACAGGGTGTGCAAAAGGATGTAACATGTAACAGTTTACAATGTTGGGAGTTGTTTGCCAACAATGTTGCATCTGTTTGCACTGGCTTAAGGCAGTATTAAAAAATGCTGGCCTGCATCGACCTTTTCCATGGCTTTTTCAATTTTTGGGAAGCTTTTGTACATATACTTATGATGTAATTAATCATTTGACATAAGATGAATAAACTCAAAGCCATGTCAAAGGAATCTTCAAATCATTATTATTAAATGTTGTCATCCAGAAGATGTAACAGGGCCTAAAAAGTATTGTGTGAGACTAGTGGTAGAAATCTCAAGGCCTCTTTCACAAATTCTTAACTTCTACCAATGCTACAATCGCTGTGGGTATTTTGAGGAATCATTATATGTTTGTGTATATAGTTTGAATTGTGACCCAGACATACTGATCTCCCAACAGTTGCAGCCTAAAATGTCTTTAAGAAATTAAACTTAAGTGGATTAGTGCTAACCAGTCTTTGAGCAAGTGGTCCATTTTGTTTCGGCAGTTTTTTGTTACAGTACAGTCATGTAACTGTAACACAAGGGAATCATAAATGACCACTTACATTGTATTCAAAGCATCAAGCTTTATGGTTGGAACGTTTTGTAAATAGCTACCTCTTGTTAGCTTCAGATCCCATAGATTTGTGTATCTAACATTACATTTTATTCACTTTATTTTAGATCCTTTAATCCTGCCTCAGCAGCAAGTTGACAAGGGTGCGATCAAATTTCTTTTAAGTGGTGCTAATGTAATGTGCAGAGGACTAACAAGTCCAGGTGCTAAACTAGCTGACTTACCCAAAGGAACTGTAGTTGTATCCTTGCTTGCCACCAATATAGTAGTAACAAGAAAAAAAGTCAGTTGAAATATGAATGTAACCCTAATTAGGGTTGGTGATGTGTAATAGGCCTTGGTGCAACCAGGAAATAATTGTTAGGCTCTTACCAATTTTATTGGAGCACAGTCTTGGTTGTCTGACAATGATTTGTACTTCTACAGTGTCACCAGTTGATGGTATTTAAACTTTATCCATTGACCTGATTGGTCAATTCGGTTCTGATCTGATTGACTGTCTATAAGTTACCAGTCAGCTGTTATTTTTATATCTGTAACTGTATTGTAAGTCAAATTTGTCAATTTTTGTTTAGTCAGATTGGCGTTGCTTAATTTCGTTGCAAGTCGTTTGTAAGGCGCTGTGTGTAAGCTTTATTTTTAGCTATTTTTAAGGGAAAGTTCCGTACCGTTCCACAGACAGTAATTAAAGCACTTATGGAATGGAAAGTTAGCCTTTTTCTTGGTACGAAAAAAGCGTATTCTTCTTACGATTCTTGGACTGATGACTGTCCTTCACATAATTAACATCGGACGGAAAAAATCCGGATCAATGTTTGTGTTTGGAGACACAGGGGCCGTCAAGGAATCAACTTTAATTCGAATGAAATAAAATAAAGCAGGAAAAATGGATGGAAAAATAAGTTACCAAATTGTACAACCTAACTGTTAAGGCCTAGACTTTAATCCAAAGAAAGGAAATTAAGTGACTCAAGACGCTCATTAACTTATAAACAAAAAAGTATCTAAGGCAACGGCAGCCAAAGATGACTCATCCGGTACCAGATGGGATCTGCTGTTCACGGGTTACAGTATAAAAGCCTTCCGGTGGAAAATGACGCTAAAATTTGATCATTTTATGGGCGAGCTTTTCCTATCAGAACTGGAAAAAAGGAAAGTTCGCAACCGACTCTTAAATGACACTCTTACTCCACAATTCACATAATTTGATCTCGTTTAAGAAGCTGAGGGGCCTAGGTTGTATTTTTTCCAGATTCCAGTGAGAACAGTGTCCCAGACCTAGCCATTACAGATTCTATAAGGTAGGAATAGTTTCGCAGAACGCATGCGATCGTCAAAAGGGAGGCCACATTACTGAATTGCCCAGGAAGAAAGCATAAATTATTACTTTTAAGCGACGTTTCTGTTTTCGTCGTAATCTATTTTACTGTTTCTTAGAACAGTTACCCCACACACCGGACAACAAGAATATTCGTGTGCACTACCGCGAAAAGAAATAGTGTCCAGCATTGTGGTTGATGACATCACCATTTCTAGTCACTCGTTTGTGTTCAGTCAGTTGTATTTCGAGATTTCTACTGCTCTGAAATTGTAGGTTGGCTGGGAGTTACAGTATTTCATCATGCCTGACTACTGATCCGACAAATGTATAATAGGGATAAAATTTTCCTCTTTTTTGCGGGGGAAGTTCATTAACTTACCGGGAAACATTGAAGCCGATGACGTCATAGCCTTTTGTCTTTATGTCATGAGTAAAATGCGGGGAATCTCTTAAGATAAGGTCCTGTGCTCTTTTTAGGTGGTTTTAACCGGTTTGATACGTTTCCTTGGCTAGTTATTTAACGGTCGACGAGTGTCTTAGATGATTAGAAACTAACAAAAAGTATTCATTTGGTGATTCATGGCGTCGAAGGAATAAGCGCAAACTCACCTGTTCGTTATATCGAAACCTCGATTTAACGAATTTTTGGGAAAACAAGCAAAATGTTCGTTATAGGGAGGAATAGTTAATGATTAATTTTCAACGCCCAGCATTTCCGGATCTGAACAATTTCTGTGATAAACATTTGTATACGAAGCTATTGTCTTAGTTCAGAGGAAATCAGAGCTGTAGAAGAGGCAAACAAAACTGCTTAAAGCTACTTTACACATGAATTTTGTCCTCGTTGGTCTGTTTTGCATTCATCTTTAGCTATCTTTCGGTCACATGTTGACATTTATTCGTTATATCGAGGTATATTTTACGTGTGCGTTTCTGGATTGTGTTCGTTATAACGAGGATTTCGTTAAAACAAGTTTCCACTGTGGCACGAAACAAGATTTCTTTACTTACCCCTCCCCTCCTCCTTCTGAGATTTCCCCGCGAGGAATAATTTCATCTCTGCTATACTACTCAGGACGACATGAAACAATTGTTTACCACAAAGACAGGTAGGAAGAGACAGATCCGGAGAAGCGATGACATTTAGTACCAACAGAGCCTCTCACCTTTGTCTTTAAAGAAGAGGCAAAAAAGAGGCTCTAACATAATCGTGCAATTCCATTGTAGTCGCCCCAACCCCAACGTTTGGGCTAGTTTTCCAGCTGGGTCTGCTGTGTAAACGTCGGCAAGAACCGAAACGCCCGTTATTCTTTGAAAGATTTTGATCCGCTTTATTGATATGTTTGACAACGCGCATTGTTCCTGTCAAAATTTTACAAACATTGAGGCAGCTATTGGAGGACGAATACCATGACAAGTAGAATAAGCATTGACGTCGTTACGTTGCTACGAGAACTCCGGTGTCAATATATGAGAATGATCAAACCGATTTTTCAACTTACAGCTGTGGTAACCGTGTTACTCTAATAGCACGTAGCTTGCGTTCAAAATTGGGAGGTGCTGCCCCAGAAAAAAACAGAGCCACTTCAAGCCAACATTTATTAACTGAAATGTTGCATACGTGTGCAAGTGTAGGTACAATGCAAATTGTTGAAAAGTTGATTCTTCGCACAAGCTTGTGCCAAGATCCCCCTGAATACGACGATATTCCAGAAAGGCCTGTACAGTAATAAGGATTTATTCATGGCTCAAAGGGTAGTAGTGTTAAGCTTATATCTAAAATAAACATAGTTACCTTAACATTCTCCTCAGGCAATAACTGCTGAGGGAAAACAACATGCAGTAGCCATCGGAAAAATGACAATGTCGTCAGAAGAAATGTAAGTATTTCACAACGATCACGAACATAACGCATGTCAACAGTGAAAGCTGAAGGTGGGTGGCTGAAGAGAATGCGGAGCCTTTGCCTCATAAAAGACCACACGTCACCTTTATTGTTCGTGTGATCATGTTTTGCAAGTTTTTGAGGCAGTTTCAAAGCTCAGCCAGTGCAACTGAAACGAAAGTAGGCATTGAATTAAATTTTATTTTTTCTCTTCGACAGACGTGAAACCAACAAAGGCATTGGCATTGAAGTAATTCATTTCTTAAATGATGGCCTTTGGCAAATGAAGCAACTCGAGAAGTAATAATATAAATGGCAAAAAAAAACAGAGTTTCTACAAATTTGAATGGTGCTGGACAACCCTGAGAGATGGTGACATCTTGGTATGATGGACGGACTTGACAGTCAATAAGAGGGTGTTATGTTTCGGCCTTTTGAAGGACGCTACTCCGCTCAAAAAAGGAGAAGAATGGACTTCACAACGAACTTTATTACAAATAAATGAAAATATTTTATCAGTTTGTAGCCAGTTTGTCTTTTGGCAATCCGCCTGTATCAAACAAGCGACGACATGCAGCGACTCAACGTTCTAGCCCGGACGGGAAGTGAGGGCATGCTCGTTTTGGTTTTGCATAGGTGTGGGCTAAGCATGCCTTGAAAGTAGGACCTGTTTTAGAATGACTTGGACTGCCCCGCACTGAACACGAGAGAGACACGAAAAGATACTGAGAAGGTTTATCCTTTATTCACCAAGAAAAGTGAATTACAAAACGTCTCGCCTCCCTCAAGCGCAGGCGTATTTTAAAAGCTATTTGGTTTTTCCATGATGTGCTCATGGCGTAATTTTTCCAGTTGTCGCACATTGAAAGGATGCGCGCCCATCTCATTACTATAATGTTCTCATTTCCATCTTTCTTGAGTGTTTTATCAATCTCTTCTGTCGAGAAACAGGTTTGGGTAAAAACGTAGTCCCTCCACGCTGTCATCCCGACATGCCTTGCCAGCTTGTTCCGTAACTAAAAGCCTGCCACGAGATAGAGACTGTTAATAGAGAAACAATACCTTGAAAAAGACTGTCCTTTTCTGTGAAAAAGTTGACATTCTACTAGAAGCATTCTTAAACTGAACACGTCGACCCAGTAACCGATTTGCAGAAAATATTGAAGGCATATCTGGCTCCGGGGATGGGGGGAGTAAAGCAAAAGTAATGAACTATTCAGTCACCCTCGAATCTCAGTTCCATTTCTTTTGTTTTATTCTACGTCTCGGAACCAAGTATGAACCTTAATACTGAATTTTAAACTCAGCTGGCCTGTCGCTTGCTTCCTGGTAGACCTTAGATAATGCCTATTTTTATTGCTTTTACCGATTCTTCTTCTGCACATACATTGCATTAATCAATGAGAGGCAACGTAGACTGTTCACACTCCCCTATTTTTTCGTGTGATCGTTCTTACCGTCACGGCTATCTTGATTTTCAAATGTACCGAGGGTGCGGGCGTCGGGGATTATAGCTCTTGGCTAAGTAGTTTTGACCCTCGTGCAAGATGGCAGCCCGTGACGCAAAGCGCTCGATCTCGATGATCTTACGGAAAAATAGAGGACTGTGAACAGTCTAGAGGCAACTGCTTTTTCTACATGTACTCTCCATTTGTACAAGTCCCTGAGCAGTCCCTCTTGTATCCTAAAGAGACCCAGGGGCAAATAATTATTTCGCCGGTCCGTTCATACTTCGTCCCAGACAACTGACTCTGGGTCTCTGAGGATGGACCTCTCCTTGCTCTTAAGAGAATTTTCAAATTAGTCCATGCACAGACTCAATCCAAAAAAAGGAGCCGTCTCCACCATTAACTACCTCTATTGGATGCGATACGAGTATCACCTTACGAGTAGTTTGTTCCTGTTGATACGTAGACAAAATAGTTTACACTGAGTCACTTCCAATGTTATGTGCATTAAGGCTATCTTTCAACATCATCTCTCATCATCTTTTTTTTTTTGCTTTGTATAACTTTTGGCAAACAAAACAATAAACAATAAACGATGTTTGTTTCAGTAACAAAGCTGAAAAAACTCGTAGTTAAACTGGCTAGCGTACGGGAAAAAAACTCGTAGTTAAACNTTTACACTGAGTCACTTCCAATGTTATGTGCATTAAGGCTATCTTTCAACATCATCTCTCATCATCTTTTTTTTTTGCTTTGTATAACTTTTGGCAAACAAAACAATAAACAATAAACGATGTTTGTTTCAGTAACAAAGCTGAAAAAACTCGTAGTTAAACTGGCTAGCGTACGGGAAAAAAACTCGTAGTTAAACTGGCTAGCGTGCCACAGTTTAGACGGTTTATATTTGAACCAGCGCGTTCAAAATCAGAAGCTAGTGAGCTCATAAAGTGAAGCGTGCCACCTTTGTGACAACTCGCGTATTAGTAGACGAATTTCTTGACACGTGCGACCTACACCGTACAGATGCAAAGACTTCACATTTAAATCGGATTCTTTTTCCTTGGTTGGCAGTTAGCAATAGTAGCTACTACTGTTAATAATTAATTTAAAATTTTGATATTTCAGTAAAACGAGTGCTCACCTTTCTTTTGCTAACATGACCGATATATTGATCAAATGGGCCAGTTCTTCTGCGGTAAGTGAATGTTTTTCATCGAGCTAAGAGAAAAACGGCAACTGGAATTGGTACTTGTTACAAACATTTTGCAATTACATGAAACTCTGTAGACTTTCATTTAGGTAAGGGTCTTAAATAGACGACGTCCTTTGCAAATCCTGAACATCTGTTAATAAAATTATCATCGATAACATAGCAATAGCTTAATTACATGAAACGCCACACGAAAGCTCAGGATTGGCTATCAGGAGTGTGGGAATGATGAAAACGTGAGAACATTTACTTACAATTTGTTTAGTGGTTCGTATAACTTCTTCATCACTATGAGACAACGCTTGAATGACTAACACACCACTTTCGAAAGCTCTGAATCTAGAAGGCAGAGAAAACACATAAAGTACTAGACAACAACACAGGAAGTAAGGCAGAGAAACCTGACGACGTCGATGCCATTAATGGTCACGTAGGAGGACAGTGGCTTACCTTAATGGTATCTTCACTGATGAAAACAGTTTGGCTGCATTCACTAAATCATCAGGAGAAACCAACTGCAATAAAAAAACACCACGAATTAGACAAACCAACCCTCGCTTGCTTACTCTCCCGGCGGAGGTTTTTTTTGTTTTTTTTTTTTTCATTATCTAAAATTCGATTCCTTCTTTTTTGACTTCACCATTTTAGCAGAGGGAAGTACAGGTCTAAATCTCACTGACGAAGCCAAAAATCTACGACAAGAGCACGATCCTGGTTTAACTCTAGGCCTCACTGGGATGGCGATCAAACGTATTAGAAAAGCTAACGGGATGGCTCCTCACAGCTGGCTTAGCCTGCATACTGAAGCTGGCGGTTTTGTCATGTTTTGCCGCAGTGCAGTCAAGTGCAGTGAACTTCATTCATGGCTATCAGCCACGACAGGATATGGAAGAAAGGAAACCTCCTCGTCGCCTGTTATGCAGCGAGTCCTTCATTGCGTTCCAACGCAGGCTTCAAAGCATTTTCTCAGATTTATCACAAACCTCCATTCCTCTTGCTCTGTTGAATCTGCAGTATACATCACTCAAAGTCATCATACCCCCTTCCTCCTTAAAATGCCAACATACACAAGTAATTAGATTCTGCTAGATTTTTAAATTCTTCCAATATTAAGTTCAATATGTGATGACAAATATGAAATAGCAGAATCCTTTCCTTTATCTGGTAAATAAAGGGTATTTGTTTCCAAACAACTTAGCTCTCCTATATTTCTATGCTATGTCATACGTACAGTCATCACAAAAGAACATTTTCTCATCAACTGAAAAAATTGAATACTTTAGTGAGCAATTTATGCGTTGTTCACATCTTTAGCTTGAACTTTCGACAGCTGCATCGCAAGAGCTCAGTTTGGCCCTTCACAACAAGCTACAACATTTCAGTACGCGGCTTAGATTTACTTTTAACGACTTGCATCGAGTGTTAACTCTGAATTCCAGTCAAAGTTGAAAGTCCTTATAAGAACACTCTTATCAAAAGCCTTATTCTTATAACCATAGTAAAGGACCCATTCAGATGTGGTGGTTTTTTCACCTCCATGAGAAACGTTTTTAAAACACTAAACATTAGGAGTACGTTCAACTCCCTAAGTAGACCGAAGTAGTGATTCACAAACCCTTAATCTGCTAAACAAAATGCCCAAATCACCCCCTCTTTACTATACACGTACAGCTGATACAGGATCAGGTGTGCAATATAACTCGGGGCACGAAAAAAATGAATTCCAGCACGTCCTTCAGGCAAGCAGCTGTCACATTTTGCTTACCCGGGGAGGGGGGTGGGCGGCAACTATTGCTTGTCTTAGCTAACTTGCCTGGACCCCGGATTTCCCATCAGGCAAGTAAGCTTCTAACAAATCCTACTCGTTCCGGAATGGCCAGACCAGACCAGACCAAACCGGAATTTTTCGAGCCCTGATATAACTACTGAATACGTACCTTGATGATCTTCTCTAAGAACGTACCAAGCTCTTTGGCCAGTTCTTTGTGATAGCTGGCACTCGAGCCATGTGTCTCCCTGACATACAAAAAAAACACCAATAAAACAAAACAACAATGTGTTGAGGTAGTGTTCATGAAAGCAATTTTTTATTTCAGTTTATTTAAAACAACGATCAAAACGATACCGGCATTTATGATTTATATTCACTAAAACATAAGTATTTAACAGTTATTCCTCGAGCCTGAATGAGCTCTGAGTCAATAGAAAGGCCTCATGGGCTATTGACTCAGAGGCCATTAGGGATGGAGGAATAATTGTTTTAGTAAAATCCAACTAGTCGGTCAAAAATATCGAGACACCTATATTACAACAAAAACTTTAACATCTAGATTTTCCCGGTTCTGATGAGGTGTGAGTATAATGTATTTCTATGTATAAAGGGCCCTAGTTGTTCAAAAGATGGAATAGTTTTATATAGTGGATAACGCAATGGTTCCCCTTTGCCTAGTCCCTAGGCCTCATTTTTCCTCGCGACCAAAGCGTTTCGGGTCACGTGGTCCATGCAAAAATGTGCTCCCCGCCCGTTCGCCTCGGATACGTCACCGAAACGAATTGACCGACAGGGACTGGGAAAACGCGGTACAGGGACTAGGCAAGGTTCCCCTAACGCTGGTGGATATACAGTAACATACACTATCCATCTTTTGAACAACTGGGATGAGACCAATAAAAATTATTAATATTATTAAATAAATAAATAATCATTATATCAAAAATAATTAGGATAAAACTGGGTATGTACAAAATTTTCATTGGGGTGGGGGAGGGGGATTTTTCCCATCACTACTATTTAGATGTACATTGAGCAACATCCTAATTCATTTAACAACTTAAACTTGAACATAATTATACCTTGTCACAGGATTAGCTATGCCCATGCTTAGCAGGTAAGACTTGAACATCACTGTCTGAAATATGCAATGCATTTTACTGTTACCATGAAGTTCGACAGGGAACCACCTTAAACATATTGCTCTTCTTGGGATGGTGAAACATATTCCAAGCACCAGGGGGTGCTAGAGACTTAAAGTCTTAAAGAATACAATACAAAGCTCCCTCAGCCACCCCCACCCTGCGTTCCACCATGTTATAACAACCAAAATAACCATTAGTTAAAAATGGATAACATCAATGAAAAAGAGAGAAAGAAAGATGCTTCATTACCTCATCTTCTGTGAATGATCCTTTCTTCTCTTCAAGTTTAGAAGCCACTTTGTCTGCCATAGCAACCATTTCTTTTGCCTTGAAAAAAGGAAGGTGGAAGACAATAATAATTATTGTTGCAAAGAATCAACCAAAGAATTTAGAGCTGGTGATGATTTCTTCAGTTGTAGTAAAGATATGATGGGCATACTATGAAGGCTCACCACTTTTGGCGTTGAGTGTGGCTAGTTCTAACTGAGAAGTAAGCAGAGTAAAGGTACTTAAAACTCATTAGTTTTAAAGAAAGCTTGTTTGAGCAACTTTCCACAGTAGTTTCTAGAAGTTGTGATCCCCCAAGGAGCGCAATGTACACTCCAGTAGTTGCTGCTGCCAGATTGCTATGCAAGCCCATGTCCATAGTTGCCAAGACCCCATTATCCCTCTGATCTGCCATCAAGGACCCCTCACAATTAACGCTCTCATTGTCCAAGATCTTGATGTAGACATATTCACTGGACTCCCATTCATGGCTTCCAATTACAATCTTGTCCACCCTCATAAACACAAGTTCTTTATCGTTGGGACTCACATTATGCCATATGGATGTTCACAAACCCTTCACACCTGTCACGCCGTCAAAGACTGCACTGCATCTTGAGTAATCTCCTTTAAAGATAATCCAGATAGCTGAGCACTTAAATTGTGGTGGTAACTCTCCTCAAGAGGTCTTTGCAAACTGGCAGAAAGTTTGTTCTGCTCTAGGTTGGTGCCTTGTCCATTGTTTGCCCTGTCTCCACTGCTTTCTACTGCTGGAATGGTCCAAAGATTCCATCTGTGCTACACCACATCTCATGGCCATTCTGCTGTTCGGTGAACCCCAAAGACTGCTTACTGCTGGTTGTCAATCTCAGGATACAGTCACATGGTCTGATAACCTCTTAGCGTTCATCACCTTCCCCAAACCCGTGAATGACGGGTCCGTACCCCAAGAAGAGTGGCCTTGGTGCCACTTTTTTATTCTCTGCCAGCAAAAGTTACACTTTCCACCATCCCTCCTAGTTGCCATGTGAAATAGAGAAACTACTCTCATTCGTATAAAAGCCGCCGCGTGATGATTTAATCAACTAGATTACTAAGTGCTCCCTCGGGAAGCAGTCTATTGGTCCTTTACGGTCCCCAGGGAAATTCCCTAGGCCTTTTATACGCCCTAGCAAACAAATTCGCCGTCTTCTCGCAAGTCTAAGCTCTACAATGGGCAAGCAAGTTTCCCCACCCTCCCCTTCAGTGGCGCTGGCAAATTTTCTCTCTCAGCCCACCCTATGCCTTATGCAAAATTTTTCACCCATAACTTATCCATCAAAAGGCATAAGGTGGCTTTTATGCGAATGTGAATTAGTTACTATCAACTTCAGCCACTGTTAAGCACTTTGCCACTTACTTAACCTTATGCTGTGGCTGACAGTAAGTTGTTTATCTAGGCCTTTGAAAAAGTTTACGGTAGTCAATTCTCTTTAAGCCATTGTGAGAATTCACTATTTTCAATGTTACGTTGTTAACAGGTCTTGTTGCTCCACCAAGCTGGCCCTACTATCTTGGCATATGACTTATTGCAGTGCTCCAGCCCTTGATGAACGTTAAATACCTTCATTTGTATCAGACACAGAGGATCTGGCTGTATGGCTTATGACGTACTTTCTGAAAAGTCCAAAATTAACATTCCCTACTATTGCTCCAATCAAGAGATCATCCACTGATTCATTTGCAAGACTTCCACGTCCTACACTACCACCTGTCTAAAGGATGAAGAGTGCTGTGAGTCTATTTGTATATTTTCCTCCCACTCTGCCTTGAGCTGTGTCCTCTGGCAGGTCCCCCTGCCATTATTATGCCCCTACAAACTTTACTTCATTGTCCATCAATGGAACCCTTCATCAGTATGCTATTGTTGTAGATGTCAGTTGTATCAAAACCCAAACAAAAACCTTGTTGCTGAAGCAAACTGCCGAACTTGGTGATGAGATCTTTTAATATTAATAACTTGTCCAGAAGGAGGCCCAATCTCACTATCACTAACCTCAATACCAACATCTGTAACAAAGGCTTTAATATCTGCTTGGGAAATGTGGTTGCATAATCAGTGCACCAACTCATGGATAGAGCGGTTTTCACTTGACTGTCGAAAGGGATTGGTTTTGGTTTTGGTTTTGGTTTTACTACGCCCTTTGGTTGGCTAGTGTATTTACTTTGGTTTTGGTTTTACGACAGTCAAGTGAAAACCGCTCTAATGCCCAACATCAATGTCTTGTTATTTCTGTTGATAGCTCGTGGTGCAATTAGTGTACGGAAGTTTACCATTTCGCAGGTACATTTTAAGTCCTATTGAAGTAAGCTTTCTTAGTTTTATCATGTTCCAGACCACAGACATAAACTGACATGTCGCCACGGGTCCCGATGCTCACAAGAGTATCCAAGAGGAACCTGCTGTTTCTTCTGCCACTCAACACCCACCTTGAGTGATCCCACGCAAGATACCTGAAGTAATTGCCACTCTAAGAAGCCATCCAACCAACACCTGCTCCAACTGACTCTTCCCTTTTTCCTAAAGGGAATGTTCCGGCATCCAGTATGGATGGTTTTTTAAGCACCATGACCAAGGTCAACCACCTTCTCTCCCCAAAACGACTTCGAACTTCCTACCACTATGCCATATCCTGCATAGTTTTATCACGATGTAATTCCCTTCGCTTGCATACGTAACCCATTACCTAGGTTACCCTTGGCTTTGTATTGCTGGTGGTTTAACGCATATTGTGAGGATGAGGAAATAAAGTACAAAGATTAATTTAAATTTATGTGATTCATATAGCCTGCATTTATGTATGTTTTTTAAAGACTCTGGACAAAATATTGCATTAATTTGTGGCAGTGAATCTAAAATGTTGTGAAATGTTGCTTTAAAATACCCTGCTTGGAATCAAATACCTTTTCCATAAGAGCATCTAAATCTTTAAATGCCTGAGATGAAAAAAAATGAAGAACTGTTAGAAAAGGGCATTAAAAAAGTCATTTTTTGAGTTCCTAAATAATACTGTGTACTATACCTTTTGAATATAGTCATCAGTCTCTTTAGACTTCTGCTCCAGTTTCCTCTCAATTCCAACTATTCCACCAACTCCCCTTGGCCGATTCTAAGAAAAAGAAGAAAAAAATTAATAAAACATTAAATGAGGGAAACAGAATAAAAGGAGTTATTAAATGCATTCAATTTAATAGTATATATTTACTTACCAGCATTTTTGCTGTAGCTCCTGTGGAGGAAGAATTTGTGGTTTGCTGCAGCCATGATTTCTTTTTAAACTGCTCTTGCAACTTTGCAAAAAACTGTCAACAGCAAAACAAAGCTGGTTAGAATTATGAAATAATTCTATTTCATAAATCAGTATTAATGTCTACGAAGAGGAAGATAAAAAAAACAGCGCTGAATGTAAATAGGTAGATTTTGCCCTGGAAGAGCATTATATATTTGTTTCATCTAGCAATCATGATTTTGTATAGGTAATAGCATGATTTGTAGTGATATTTGGCATTAATACCACAAGTGATATTTCGAAATTGTCATACGAAATTTGAGACAAATTTTGAAATATCACGTACAAATCATGCTAATATTTGTTTATACTACTACCCGCAAAAGGTTTGTAATTTTCACATGTAGGTATTTCAAATTAAGCTGAAATACCACAGCTATAAGGCAATCAAATTCCAGAAATTTCTCGTGTAGTAGTATAACTATAATAATTTTTATTTAAAACGACATGACTGGCATATGACAATCAATAATTTCCCCCACCATGGCATTAGTATAGGTAATAGCATGATCTGTAGTGATATTTGGCATAAATACCACGAGTGATATTTCGAAATTGTTATACGTAATTTCACGAGCCGTTAGGCGAGTGAAATTTGAGACAATTTTGAAATATCACGAGTGGTATTTATGCCAAATATCACGTACAAATCATGCTATTATTTGTTTATACTACTACCCGCAAAAGGTTTGTAATTTTCACATGCAGGTATTTCAAATTAAGCTGAAATACCACTGCTCTAAGCCAATCAGATTGCAGAAATTTCTCATGTAGTAGTATAAACAACTTAATACAAAAGGTAAATAGTTTTAACTCGTTACCCAACATTTTAAAAAAGGTAACCTGAAAAACAGCTCAGGTTTGGCTTAAGTGTTAAAACTTATAGTTCATGAACATGATTTATGTTATACATGTATGTACATGTAGTGGGAGAAAAGCATACTATAAGTCAATACGATTTACATGTAGGCTAAGTTCACAAGGCACCACATGAATTTTCAAGCAGCAGAAAATTTTGACCAGAAACTTCATTCATACAAGACCATTCAATAATTATTTTTACACTTCGAACTTTCATACCTGAGAATGACCACCTTGTTTAAAAGAGAACTTGACACAGGCATATGGGCTTGAGACGCATGGTCCAGGGTCTTTGTCTTTTGGTGGTGGGTGAAAGCTTACAATCACCTTTGCACTATAACAAAATACCAGCAATATTAAAGCAAGGAGAAATACTTATACAAAAAATGAAGTCCTGCAATAGTTGTACATAAATAACTTGTATAATAGCTACTTATTACTCTCCTGAACAGCAGGTTTTTTAAAAAGAAATCAGCTCTCTCTTGTTGAGAGCCTGACTATAAAAGAGTGTCAATTACCATACTTATTTGATTAAGTGCCACACCCAATTAAGGGCCTCCCTTGAATAAGTGCACCCCCCCCCCTCCCAAATAAGCATCACGGCCTTAATGTAATCCAAATCAAAAGACTTAAATTCTCTTAGACGTTAGTTTATTATGGAAAACAATGATACTGTAGTTAATACAATAATCATTATTATTCATTCAAATATTTCCCGATTCTGATTGGCTAAAAGCACACGTTTAATTCACCATAACCAGTTACTGACTTTAACGAGGAAATGATGTCAAAAATGCAGTGTTTTTGCAGGTTAAGGCACCGTTAACCAAGAAGACCTGGGGACGAGGTTGAGTTGTTTTGGTTGTGAACTTGAAAAAATGGCGGACATTTCACTCGTTTCAAGAGTAAGAACTAGGCGAAAAATAGCTAAAAACATGGCAAGAACAGCAAGAAGACAACTCGAAGGGCGACATCTGCTATTTGGAGAATATCTGTGGATCTGTACGAACCTAAACATACACTATCGAAGATGAATTGAACATCGATGGATCAATGGAGGTAAGCATGTTTTAGCTATGTTTTTAAACTAGGAATTATTTTGAATGAATAATAAAACAGTTATTGAATTCAGCTTTCGTTTCATACGAAGAATTATGGAGATCTCAGATGGTATTATCCACCTTGGCCTACGGCCTCGACGGATAACACCCTCCTCGATCTCCATAATTCTTCATAAGATACTCAGCCTCATTCATTAACTGTTAAATACAATAATTCTGGTGTCCCTCTCCCACAAGTGCCACACTTGAGGCTTGAAAATTTGAACAAGTACTGCAGCACTTATTCGAGTAAACAAGTAAGTCACTTGATGTGGTGCTCAATCCTTGAACTTCCTTTACATGTAGTCACTACACACGCCATTATAATAAACAATTTTAATTTCTGATACTTGCACTCCCACATCAGTGAACATGATCATCAGACAAGTATACTAATCAATCCTGAAAACTTCCTGAACTTCACATCAGTTACAAAATCAGGCCACGTACATGACAACAGTTGTCATGCATGTGGCCAGTTACTGCCCTGATGCTCAATCCAAACTCTGAAGAGGCCCTGCCAGGGTTAATTCTGACAAGCGACATGACCCAAAAAGTAGCGACAGAGCGTAAAATGAAATTGCGACAAGAGACAACCTCCCTCGGCCAAATTGTGACAGTGACAGCAAAGCCGAGAATAAGCGACAAAGAACAGTGCTTTGGCTTATTTATCACCAGGCTGAATGCCAAGAAGAAGTAATTTTCGTCAATTCTCCTTGCACTTCAGAGAATGTCTCCTCTCAGTGATCTTCAGTGGACCCTCTTGAGAGTGCATGATGTTACACTTCATTTGCACAACCCCGCAGAACTGCTGGGAGACATGGGAACGAGGTTGTCCGTCACAGCTTAATTTGGTGCACTGTCTACAACTCTTGTAAGCTTTTATTTGCTTTGCTCAGGTTGTCAGGTAGAACCATGAGAAGACCACTATGTCTTGATTTGTAAGGTGGAGAGGCAAATGTTATGAGCAAAGTGGCTCATCTGACTGGTGCTTTCCTCCCTAATTGTAGTGTGAAGCGACTAGTTCGAAGATACTACATATCCATGAATGGGATGTTAGAACATCACAAGGCTTTCAATCCCTTGCCAGCATTATGATCGTCGTACCCACTATGGGTGAAGAGAGACAATGTAATACAGATTTAAGTTTCTTGATTAACGTTGCTCAACCCAGTATTTTTATACGCACACCCTCCATCTTTGAATCTCTGATACTTAAACAAATCGATCTGTATTGTGAAACGATTATGACATATGGACTACACATAGACTAAACTTTATCATGGTATTATTTTCTAGGCAATCGGAATAAATGTCATGTGGCAATAAAGTCAAAATGGTTTTAGCTCTAAATTCTACTGCACGAAGTTTCACAAAAATCTATGACAGGAATTTCGAAATACCTTGGAATTTCCATAAAAAGGCTAGAAATTATGCATGCACTGAAAAAGGGACTTAATGCAGACATATTTGCTACTTTTTGGATGTTTCCGAAAAGGTTTTATCACTTATTCGTTTTTCAAATGACCCTTATACACTCTAGCAGCCGCTGAACGCAAGTACTCTTATGCGATTTTGAAACTCATGAAAACATGTGAATCTAGGTAAAACACAATGTTGAGCTTTTTTTGTAATTTTTAAGGCTAATTTCACGAAAACAGCGATAAAAACAAAATTTGAAGATAGAATTTCGTGTCAATTGAAAACTTCTAAAGTTGTCTAACATGGGCGCAAAAGGGAGTAAATATTGAAGCAATGTCATATATTTGGCCAAATTTTTGCTCTGGGACTTCCTATTGTCTCGAGTTTAGCACAACATCAAATTCCCTGTGCAGCATGCAAGAATTTACGGCCCTTGGTTGTCCTCTGAAATCTATTCGCTATCGTTTTCTCCCATTCTACAGCATTATCATATTTCAGAGAGATTTCAGAGGGCAACAAAGCGCGGTAAATTCTTCAATCGCCCCAAAAAAGTGTAATCCATGAGTCATGATCATTTTACAATACAGATCAATTTGCTTAAGTATAAGATATTCAAAGATAGAGGGTGCGCCTATAAAAATACTGGGTTGAGCCACCTTAATGTCAGCAACACAGAGGTGATGACGAAGGAGAGACCATGGACCAGGTAACCTTACCACCGACCTTCCAACCGCTCTCACAGATAGACCACTGTGCCTTCATGATTTATCAGGTCAGTTAGGGTTGATTTCCACTGATGCGTAATTTTTCTGTGCGTACGCATGTAAATTTTAAGCCCATAAATAAAACAGAGGCAGTGTATGAAAGGCCTCACATAAACATAAGAGTTGAGCGAGGTTCAACGTTTACATTTATACGCATGGCTTTTCATACATAGCCTCTATTTTTTTATGCGCATAAAATTTACGTGCGTATGCACGGGAAAAATTACGTGACAGTGGAAATCCACCTTTAGTCTTAGTCCTTTAGTTTTTTAGTCCCCCCCCCTTCCACCCTGGCAGGGCCTCTCTGAAGAGTTATTAATTTGCTATCCTGGCCAAAATAACTTTTAAACAAGAATAGGATTACTTTAATTTGCAATCTCCTAGCCTGTGTACAGCTGCCCCCATTTACCTTCAAAACTACTAGCTATTAAAGGTGTTGCATAATAGTATTTGACTTTTAGTAAAATCCAACTTAGTGGTCTATTATCAATGCTGCATTCTGATTGGTTGAGCTACTACTAGGCTATATGTTATACCCCACTAGTAATGAAAAGCGCCAGCTTTGAAAACCAAGACATTATAATGGCAGCTGAATCACGTCTTGCTAGCAAAAGTTGATATTTTTGACCAACTACCGGTAGTTGGATTTTACTAACTCAGAGCCCATCTTGGCCTGAGGAATAATTGTTAAATATAGTTTCATGAAGCGCCATCTCTTTGACTAGAATCCAAAACACAGACATTTCAGGTAGGGTCAGCAATGATCATAATAATGGTCTCAAAAATCGAAAAGTTTTCATGTTAACAAGAGTGTGACTCTAGAAGGGTAGAAAAGGAGGCTTTATTTTATTACACTGACTGACCTTTCACAGTTTATTTCTAATAATTGCTTAATTATTGGTTACTTCTTAAAATACACATTCTCTTAAACAAACCTGCTCATAAAACCACCAGATTGTTCTTCTACATTACTCACAAGAGGCAGTGGGACTGATATGGCTCTATCCTATAAACGAACAAATAATAACATATTGAACAATAATAGCGTGATCCTAGCATTCTTCTTTCTTAATTCTAGTTTTGAAAAAAAAAGACAGCTGTGAGGTGAAATTATGTTAACAGTATTTTTTTTTTACTAAAAAGATAAAAAAAAAAGTTAAAACATAAACTGTGGAAGTGTCAGCACTATTGGTTTAACCCATTCACTCCTGGAGATTTTGCCGAAAAACGCGTTTTCAAGCTAGTCGAGTGGTTTTCTGGTCACTGTCGTGCTATAAAGAGCTAAAACTCACCACAATCCGGTTTACAGGTCGTACACTTTGCGGCCTTCTGATCCAGATGCAAAATATCAGCTTGCGAAGTTCGGGCATGCGCAGAAAGCAAAATTTCGACACAGCAGTCTTGACTTTTATTTTTCGCTTTCTCTCCTCCCTTCTTTTTTCGCTTTTCTTGCCTCATTTTTTTTTCCCTTGCTGGGCATTTAGTAGGCTTCATTTTGGTGGGAATAGTTTTAAGGAAAGCTTTTAGGATCTTAGGATTAGGTGAACGGAAAGGTAGGTGGGCATGCAATGGAACACGATTTTCATGGAGATTTTCAGGTCCATGTGACGTGGTTTTTTGCTTCTTTCTCCGGTGTCCTTGACTGAACTTTGCTCATTCTGGTATGGTTTGAAAGATCTCTTCACTCTGCACAAGTGAGCGAAGAAAGTTGTCCTTGACCGTTAAAACTGATGACGTCACAAAGGGTGGAAAGGACCTGGATCCGCACGGGCGGTTACGGGCGGTTCAGGGGCGAATGGGTTAAACTATCCTCACATTAACTGGCTATGTTCTACACTGTATGTCCAACCTTGCCCATGTTTAAACCTCATAATGGTTGAATGCAAAGCCAGTTAAGAGAAGAAAAAATATTTACATCATGTTAAGGTTCAAAGGTTTGACCACAGTGTTAAGAGGTAAAATGTTAACATAAATCTTAGATTAATTTAATACTTACCTGCTGATCTAAATCATCCCAAACTATTCTGTGTGTAGTGAGCTTTAAATTTCCATTTTCAAATGTTGTCTGAAGAGTAAAGTTGAAAATCAAATTTGAGTATTTATATGAAAATGAATAATTAGGGTTATTAGGAAACAAAGTCATGATTGCCTCTCCCTGCAAGCAGTCTCTTATTTTTCTTTTGAGTCAGTTAATTTCAATTATTTTATTTTTTCATTCCAATGCATGTAAGATAAGATAAGATATTAACTTTATTATATCACTTCAGGATATCTCTATTTACAAAAATCTATTTACAAATTATTATGAAAAAGTGATAAAAATAAAAAAATTTTATGTATTATTATAAGAGTACTAAAGTCAGAAAGATACTAAAAGCAGAGAACAAAATTAATTATTAAAACAAGATATTTTGCCACATGGCAACATCACTAATTGGCTAGTAAATAATTGACATGTTCACTTTTATCGCTTATTCTATTAGAGATTTCTTCCAATAATTTCCACAATGCATTAGGCGATTCAGGTTTAGATAACTTAAAGAGGTCAAGACCAGTCTTAAACTTGTTGAATTTTGCATGCGTAGTGGCAGCTGGTTCCAGTATTTGATAACTCTATTGTTAAAGAAGTCATGTGCTGATCTTAATGGATGATGAGAAGTGACATTAAGATTACAAGTTCGATAAGCTGTATTTTTATATGGCTAGTACTTGTAGCCGATAAAATGTGTGCTCTGATTGGCTAGCTGCTAGGGCATTATTTTCCCGTAATGCCCACGGGCCATTACGCATTATGCAAATTAGAAAAACAAACCAAAGTTCATCCAAAGGCTACACTTGTTTCATTTCTTAAGTTAATTTTCGACAAAATACAATGAGTGAGGAGGAACACTCGGATAAGGAAAACAGTGAAGACACAGCTTTATCTGGTTACAAACAAGTATATGAAAACAGCCAAGAGGAAATTGAGAATTTCGTAAACAAGCAAAAAAGTGAAAACACGACCAGGAAAACTTTCAGTGACATGAAAACATTTCAGCGTTATTTATCTTTAGTAAACAAGGGAAATGAAGAAGTTTTGGATTTACCTGCTGGTGACCTTGACCACTTATTGGCAAAATCTCTTCACATAATCTTCATAATGTATATAATAATGTCTGAAACTTTCATTGAGATTGATTCACTGCAACACCTTGAAATTTCAAGACAAACCTATCCTATGAACCGGTGAAAAATCTGCATTACAGCATTCACTGTTTTGACGTTCTCCTAATTTTCTAAAATAATGCACACTATACATACCTCCACGACTAGTACATTTTAGTTTGAATTTATCACATCTTTTGAATGTAAAACATTGGCAATACTCACACTGAAATGTACTAGTCGTGGATATATGTATTGTCCGCATTAATTTGGAAAAATTAGCAGAATGTCAAAACAGTGAATGCTGTAGCGGATTTTTGACATTAGTTTCAGACATTATTATATACATTATGAAGATTATGTGAAGAGATTTTTAAAAAATTTGTTTGAGTCGTTTCAGAGATATACAAAAAAGGGCTAAAGGTCCAAATTTTGAATGAAGTTGCACTTATACAGGTGGTGAAAAAACGGGTTAGTTTTTTAGATCGCAAGAATGAAAAAACACCAAAATTTCCTAGCATCGAAATATGATATTAAGCAGCATCCTGACGCTACTTAAGAATAATTTGTGTCATTTATAACGTTTGTTTTTAAATAATCTATCACGGCTATTGAAAATTTAGGTTTGAAATATATTTTCGTTTTATTCGAATTCAAACATACAGAATTTTTTACTTCTTACGGGAGGTTATTTGCTAAACACCAAACTTAAGTTCCTAGTGCTGGATTTTCAGTAGCAGGTCTAGATCGCGCAAAATTAGGCGTTTATCAATTTCAAAGTTTTTTGTTTATTGTTGTCACAGTAATATCGATTTTCCTAAAACCTACATTTTGACAAATTTCAATCTATAGTCAATCAGTGGTCAAAATTTTATAGCGATCAGACAAGGATGAAATCACTTTTAAAGCGATTGAAAAATACCGGTATGGCCTCTGAAAAACTATATCGAAACACCTTAAACTGATAATGAATTTCACATCATTATTCTGTCCGAGAACACCACGATCACCATCAACATACTGCAGTAGATAAACCTGCATTGGACTACAGTCTTGGACAAAACTGTTGAGAAAATTTGCTAAATCCAAGCACACAGAGACAAATACTGTTGACTACAATAACTCGAACCCCTCCTCAACTCGAACCTCGCACTAACTCGAACCAAAGTTGTTTTCCCCTGGATTTCCTTCATACATTTACTGTAATTTTACACTCAATAACTTGAACTTCGATCACGCTAACTCAAAGTAATTTTTGTTTCTCTTCAGATCATTTCCATACAATTTTACACGGCCTACAAAAAACAACATAAGACACCACCCCTAAGTTCTGAAGATAGCTAACTGTACAATAAATTAGACCCTAGTGAGGCTAACTTACACAGATACTAACTTGATACCCCACTAGCAAACTATACTGGTAATAACCATCATTAACAAATATATATATTATATATGTTATTTTATAGAATAACATCTACATATAAATCTACATCTACATCCATTAGGTCAGTAAAAATCACAAAGACATCACACCAAAAATAAAATAATGCAAAATAATGATGTAAAATTAAATAAAGAGAACTATATACCTCTTACTTATTAAAAATAAAAAAACTGATAAATTAGATTTAAAATACTCTGACTAATGAACTTGATGATACAATGGCCTTAGGGAGGCAGTTCCAGTCAGCACAGTTCTCGGAAAATACGAAAATTTAAAAATATCCTTATTTGCATAGGGCACGTTAAATTTAAATTGATGGCTTCCTCTCATGTGACTCTCGGATTGTTGAATTAAATATTTTCGGCTATCTATATCAATAGGACCATGAATTAGTTTATACATAAGTGTTAACCTAAACTGTCAGCGTATCCCACTTCAAGTCTTCAATCATGACCATAACACTTGCATACCTATGAGAATTCTGTTAGCAGAATCGACTATTGTGCTGCTTTGTGTTGAACCCTTTTCAGTGCACTGATATATCTTTTTTTGAAAACCGGTTCCTAGCCGCACTTGCGCATTCTAGTTTTGGCCATACCAAGGATGTATATGCTATTTCTCTCACATTCTGGGGGCAATTCCAACAGTTGCATTTTATTATACCCTTGAATGATTTGTGGGCTAACCACTTGAGCTTGTTACTGATGGTTCAAATTGTAACCCCAAGGTATGGGAAACTACCAACTTGTTCCAACTCCACACTTTAGAAGACATATTTTCTCTGGGGTGGATTGTTCTTATGTAAGATGGTGACAATTTTGCATTTGGAAGGATTAAATTTACTAATGATACTGCCAAGATTCAAGCCTGCATACAGTGTAGGTCAGATTAAAAGAGGTCACAAACTGTATCACTTACGACAATGCCGTAAAGTAGGGCATCGTCTGCAAAAAACGTGACTGATGATTGCACGTTGTCTGGTGGTTTGTTGTTATATAATAAGAAGGGCAATGGGCCAAGGACTGTACCCCAGGGTATGCCAGAAGTCACCGGACATTGACGTGACGTTTGGCCTTCACAAGCAACTGATTGAAAACAATGTGTAAGAAAAGACTCTACCCTCAATTCAGAAGCAGACCTTGGATTCCATAGTGCTGCAGCTTCATTATTAGGAGTCGCTTATGAGGGACCTTTGGCAAAGTCCAAAATGACCACGTGGAAAACCATGCTGACAGTCTGTTAAGATATTATAGTTTTTTAGATGTTTCACAATAAAGCTGTGAGCAATATGCTGGAGAATCTTCCATGCAACACAAGTGAGATATATAGGTTTATAGTCAGCTGGGTCAGATTTCTTTTCCTTTTTTAAAACTGCACACACATTAGCTTCTTACCACCTGCCAGGGACAGTGCCACTGTCAATCGAGTCTTGAAAGATGTCTGTTAGTTATTGGAGCAATAATTGCTCCAACGATTATGGTGTAGAAATAAATTTCTGCAGCATAATCGTTGAGAAACCAGGGTGGAACTAGGTTTGGGCCACAGGCCTTGTTAGCGTTTTAATGAAGACAGCTGTTTCAAGATGCCATGTTCTGAAATAATTAATGACCCAAGCCAAGCTAAGGATCAGAGCCCATTTCAGGAATGTTTTCAAGGTCCTCTTTAGTAAATAACACACTTGAAAATTGGCTGTTTAAGAAGACTACCGTCACTTACAACTTTAACTACAAAGCCTGCTGTCCCTGGATTTTCTTGCTTAAGCCGTTTTAAGTAGGACCAAAAACATTCTTAATTGCCTCGCTACGGTGGCCACTGATATACTCCTTTGCAGATATAAGATTATTGTGCATGCGCTTCCAGGTGGCACAAAACATGTTCCAGTGATGTGCAGATCCTGTTTTTGTGCTTTGTTATATATTCTTTGTCTCACCCTGCTTTAATCGCTCTCTTTGGTGACAATCTAAGGTAAGTTGTATCTTGAGCTTGTCATTTTATGCGGGATGCAAGAGCCCATTATGATGCAAACAATATTTTCAAAATCATTCCACTTTGCTTCCACCAATTTGTTATCATACTGAGTGTTGAGCTTTGCAGTAAGTGCTTTTAATTCCAATTTAATATGCTCATCACTTTCTGATGTAAACTTTGCACTTGTCAGTACCATTTTTTCGGCCACGATGGCTTCAGTGTAAACAACACTATATATCATGATTGCTGATTCCTGATTATACAATTGAAATTGCAAATAATGTCAGGGTGATTAAATAAAACAAGATCCATGGTGTTACTCAGGTTGCCTTGTTGCCTGGTTGGTTCTTTTATGAACTGCGTTAGGTTATATTCATGAGTCAGTTCAATTGATTTCTTTGAAGGAAAAGAAAGGTTGGCTGAGGCCTTGAGATTATCCTATGAAAAATTCAGGGCATTTAATTTGCCCAAGACTATCACATTGTGCTTATGAATTTTATCTCCTAATTTGAGCAGAGAGGCGTCCAGTTTGTCAAGACTTTTCACATCGTGAAGAGTGAAGAGTGACTTAGAGTTCCTTCCAGTAATTTGGCATTGGCTCCGGATGATTTCACGGTCTGTGTCCAGGTCAACACAATGCGTAGCTATGATATCACCTTTTATTGCTTGGAAAACACTGCCACCATGTTGTCCATTAACCCTGTCCTTTCTTAAGATGGTACAATCTTACAGAAAAATCCCCGAACTTACAATTTATTATTGATGAGTTTAACCAAGACTCATTGCCAAAAATTACATCGGGCTTGTGTTCATCAATTACAGCCACGATGCCTGCAATCTTGTTCTTAAAGTTCTGTCAATTTATGACCAGACATGTCAATTTCAATTGTTTTGGGTTTTGTTTCTAATGGCACGATGCCTTAGTCAGACTTTGTTTACAATTTGGTTGTGGTGGAGAAACTTTGGTGTCGGAACCATTTAGTGGGTCAAAACTATTTGATGAGCACAAGGAATCCAGTGAATTTTCAAAGAATAAGACTGAAAAGTTTGGCAATTTGCAGAGAGAGCAAATATAGGAGAAGGATGAGTTTGCTGAGATCTCGTTACTACATCTCATGAATCCCCAATTGGTTTGACTTGACAGGCTCTGAGCATATACCACAAGGAAATTTGCCTTCACCAGGGTTCACTTCAATATCTCCTCCCAGTAATAGCAACAAGTGGAAAAACACGGAACAGCCGCATAATTGATAATTATTGTGGATTGTTTTATTCTTCCTCACCCATACAAAGCAATGCCTGGTGGCTCCAACACGATGAAAATAATCATTTGTTGCCACAGACTTGCCATTAAAATAACCAGATATTCTTTGGGACTTACTTCTCTTTGTTAGAATCTAACCACTTGGCCATCATTAGTACACACAAAGTTTCAAATAAAAACTGGAGTGAAAAAACGTGTGGCAGCCATTATGCTACTCGACAAGTGACAATGTATTAACTAGGATAGTACGCATGCTCTGATTGGTCGAGAGGCCTGTTTATATGAGAGTATGTAAACATGGTTGTGGTGTCAAGATGTTTTGCTTTTCACATGCTAATCATGCAAGTACGAATTTTAAAAAGTTTTTGAGTGGAAAAATCGACAACTTTGTTTTATTCACCCATTCCCTCGTCAGCTGAAACTCTTTACAAACAAGCTGTGTCAATTTTTTGCTTAAGCTGACATTTTAAGGGACAAAAATCTGTATAATTTTTGGAAGACATCTTTTTTGCAAAATAAGAAGTGATTACGCATGCAAGACTTTGTGTACAAGACTTTGTGACTAGTAAGAATCTCTCTCTTAAAAGGCGCCATAACAAAGAGTTTCGCGTTTTTTCTTGGGAAATTTAATTTAAAAAGGCAAAAGAAAACTTCTTTCCTGTATTTTGCTTAGCCTGATATAAACACTCGAAGGGTTGGGAGAGTTCTCGATATTTATGCACTCTCGAGACGTCTCGAATTCTCCCAGCCCGTTTCGCGTTTATATCAGGCTATGTTAACATGGAAAACGTTTTCTATTGCTTAAATCTTAACTTGCATCCAAGTATGTACTGTACCAGTAGGTAAAGACACCAATGCGACAAACCAGTTTTGAGCGTGCACATTATTCCACAGTCATCCATATGTTTTAACTTTGAATATTATACATAATGCTCTTGAAAGCTGCATAAATGTGTCTCTGTTTCGTGGCGAATGCTGCTGTTAGGCGAGGTGAGAGTACAGTTACGGTGTAATTAGTTCTATCGTAGACCCTACATGTAGAGGTAAAATATGAATTGTTTACATTATTAAGGCAATAAGTCCTGACCTTTTTGTCTCCATCGTATATTCGAACGCCAGACTGTTGGTGAATGCCAGATTCACCCTGCAAAATACACAGATTTGAAGATGAAGTCCAGCTGAAACGATCCATATTACAGAGCCGCCATGTTTTTTCGCCTCCGCTTTTTCAAGCAGCGGTTTTTTACATCCGATGTAAGTACTTCATGAAGTTGTGGTACTGAGTCCCCAATCAAACATTCTTACACCAAGTAGTAGTCGTAAGACATGCATCGTCCCTGCAGTGCCTATAAAATCAGTATTTTATGGCCGTCAATGTTGATATAGATCTCCTGGTACTTGAGAGGCTTTGAATGTGCCTAATGCGCATGGAAGGCGTTCGTTTAGCTTTCAAATTTGGTTCTTGGAAACCAACAAAGCAGGTCAGTGCAACAAGTTTAAAAGGCGTCCAATAGCTGTCCCCCGTTTTATTGGGCGTCCCGTGAGGGCAACGCCCAATCACAAAATTGAGGCCGCCTCATCTGAATCCCTCATCTGTGCAGCAAAAAGACAAAATGGCGGACAGAACTCCCAGAAGGCTCTGCGTGTCCCATTCCTTATCAATGGGGCCAATTTCTGCGAAGAGGCGACAGGTCATTTCAGGTCATCTGGGGAACAGAATTGATTGATTTGGAACGAGCACAAAATTATTGCGTGGAGTTATTAAGCCTATACCTATGCCGAATGATTATCTAAATACAGTATTCAGCTTGTGCAAGAGTAGGGGAAACAATGCCATCCCACGATCCTCAAGGGAAAAGCTTTAACCTGTTGCAATTCTCTCCCTACGTGTGGGTCGAAAGTAAACAAGAAGGAATATACTATTTGTATTTGTATTCACGTGGCCCCGGGGGCGGGGGGGGGGGGGGGGTTTTTTACCCCCTATCCTAGAGTAGCTGTTTCCCTAGTCTAGATAAAATCTTCAACCAACTGATCAGTTTCCTGAGAAATGATACCCTATTCTAGACCCAAACGCTCTGATTTATATACCCTATCCTAGAGTAAACTGCTTGAAAACCATACCCTTCACAGCAGCACATACCTATATAGCCCATATTTGGCAGTACCCCCCACCACCCCGGTCACATGGATAGTTTGAAGGGCTTTGGAATTATTTTTAACTGGGACATTTCCACAACTCACCCCCTTCCCTAGTCTGTGTACAGACCCTCCCCCTCCCCTTAGATTTTTCCTGGGGGGAGGGGGAGGGATCTGTACACAGGCTACCCCTTACCCCATCCCTCTGCCACCAATTATAATAGCATATGACAGTACTAGCGTAACTAATCTGATCTAACCGGAAATTCCAAAAATTATTGTCATTCTACGCTTACAGAATTTGACAGGGTCAGTTTTGGTGGTTTTTTAACAGTAATTTCTGTTCTTTAAATCTTGCAAAGCAAATTAAGTTTCAGTTTTCTGTCGGATATTGCATTCAATCGTTTGTCGCTTTAAAAGGCTATCTCCATCCCACTCCACGGCCTCCCAATGAACTCCCACTATGGGGGTCTTGTTTAATTTTATGAATTTAGCAAATGTTTGAAATTGATATTACCTGTATTTGTTATCATTGCATGATTTCCTATTACCTTTATTTTTGTATGCATGATTTTACCTTACTTTAATATACAGAACAAAACTGTAATCTTCCAACGTAACAGCACTCACATTCTCTAGGAGAGGAAGGAGTTTGGGCAACATTGAAGGGTTTCCTGAGTTCGGAGCAGTGTATGACATTTTGCAGACTGCAGACCGCAGACCACAAACTATACAAATGTAAATAATTGAACAAAACCAAAAATATTGTGATAAAGGTGGTGTCATCAACAACATTACCTCATTCCCCAGCTTCTAACAAAGTGAGAAAGTTTGATATTTTCTACTAGTTTTCTCTCGTCAAAAATTCCACTCATCATTGCGATTTCCTTTGCTATTCTTGACCAGTCTAGAGTCATTCTCAGTTTTGTTTTTAAGGGCCAAGCTGGGTGAGTGCATTGCATTGTAATTAACACGGCCCCCGACTAAAATGATTGATGGAACAGAAAAAACCATTCAAAGTTTGCAAATGTGCAGCGCGATACAACGAATTTGGCTATAACAAGGCCATTGTCAATTTGAAAGGAAATTGGAAACGCAATTCTGGTGATTTGTTGAGTCCATTGCAGGCACATAATCCTCCCCACCCCACCCCAACCAAAAAACATACCTCAGTATCAATGGAGTCAGATTCATTTTAGATTATTTGGCATATCCCTAAGTACCATCAAGATGAAATATTTGTGTTTTTTTCAAAAGGTGTCAAATATCCTTGATCTATAATAGTTGTTTTTTACATAACTGTAATGAACATGATCCAAAAACTTTCTTTACAGAAGACCACTATTTAGACAGGTATTAGTTGGCAAGACTACTTGTCATTATCACATAATAATCCAAGAAGAGGCAGAAAAAATCATACTGAAACCTGAAGTCAGGACATCAGTGATACGACCCAATAAAGGGTCGGTGAAGAACAGCCAACAGCATCTTGAAAATGAGGCCCATTTAATTTTACGTGGTAAAAGGCTACTTTCTCACTTTCTTAGATGCCTGGAAATGAAGTAGTATTTTTTATGATGTCTCCTGTATTTGGATACATCTCAGTGTCATTAAAATTTTACAATCAGCAGGTCTGGGGTCTGCAGTCTACAAATGTCATACACCAAGTTGAAGTGATGGGAATGATTGAAAATCCGTACTTAAATCAAAACACCCAGAAAAGTACTTGTCAAATTTTCCTAACTAACAGAATCCCAGAATCAAAAATTTAGAACCCCCAAAAATCCTTAAATAATAAATGATCATCCTCATCAGTTGAAATCTGGAGTACCTCTTCTGAGGAGAGGGCTCCTGAGTGACGATTCTAATACCTAGTAAATAGGCTTACATCTGGCTATTATGCTCAGAAGCCCTTCAAGCTAACCCAACCAGGCTGGCAACATGCTGGCTGATCGAGACAGGCAAGGCCACCACATAGGACATTACTTTTTACAAACTGTGTGTGGGTTTTTTTTAACATTCCACAGAGTTTTTTGTTAAGTGTTGTGAAACAGGGCCTTAATTGTTTATCCTTCTTATCCAAGAAGACTCAAAAGTCTAATGGTTTGAAGATGATAAAGGCGGCGGTTTTTCCACCATTATTTAAAGAACCTAAGTGGTTGAACTTGTGGCCTCCTGCACAGCAGACCATCTGTTATCCAACTGAGCTAACCAGGTGATGGTTCAGGGTTCAAATTAAAAGTTTGATTGAATGATTGATTAACTGTTTGATTTATTGGTCAGGAGATTATATGATAAGTTGGTCAGTTGATTGATTGGATAGTTTGTTTGTTGTTTTCCAGGATGATTGATTTATTGATTGGCTTACTGAATACAGTAAAAATATCTGTTTTGTTCAAGGAATGGCTTCTTGGAATATCCTGTGTTCAGTCAGAAGAAAAACAGAGGATCATGAGATTTGTATTCAAGAAAGATGCTAAATCTGCTCTGGCAAGTACAAATGCATATAACTGATACCTCCTCCAAGCCATACCGCCTTTCTTGTCAGTCTCTACTGTCTAACTTGTCACTTTATCTTTTAGATTGGAAGGCTGTTGATACGGAAAGTCTTAAGTGAACATCTAAGGATTCCCTATAATGAAGTTTTACTAAAACGGACAGAAAAAGGAAAACCTTATTTGGTAAGGAGTTTGTCCAAAACTTGGATTGTTGAGTTATTGAACATTGTAATGTACACCAATTACATACCTAGTATTCATGTGATCATACTCTCTCTGGACCATGTGCTCTTGTAATGGCAGCTCACCATTAAACTGATGTTGTTGCATTCGATCCTTGTCATGTTCCATATTCTCTACCTTAACTAATCAACAGGGATCAGGGTTTGGAAAAAAGGGGTATGCTGTGAAAAATAAATTATGGCTCCTTGACTTATACATACTTTTAGAGGCTTTTGGGCTGGCTCAATAAGGGTTTGGCTTAAACCCTGGGTTAGGGGCTGGGGGGATGTTTTGAGCACACCAATATTTCTGATTGACAAGTCCATCATATCATTAAAACTAAAATTGACTCTTTAAGCGTCAGTTAAGAAATCTTGTGTCTTTACCTGTGAGGGGTTGAAAAAAATTAAACAATGTATACAAGGTGAGTTTCTGTCTCAAAGGGGTGTTTCAATTTTCTTAATGAGTATCATCTTGGAGGAACTTCATCATCCATTTGCTTTTTTTCTCACAGGCTAACATCAGTGAACCATCTGTGAAAAATTTTAACTTTAACATATCACATCAGGTACTCCTTTGTCCATATAATAAAATTAATAAATAACAACAAATTCACCAAAGTGGAGGTAGGTAGTGGTGGTACAGAGACGCGAAGCAGCAAGGTAAATAACCACCACTAGCCACTGACACTGAGGTAAATAATTGTTTTAGTATGTACTAAAACAGTGAGATAATTGAACACAATATTTAAAGGATGGTTTTTAACTCATTTGCTGTTGCCAACTATTACAATTTTGGTGCACAATTTAGGTCAATATATGTTTCTTGCTAACAAATAAAATTTTTGAAGGCATTTGTTTAGCTCTTGCGGGGAAATTTCTTCAAAAGGAGTTGTGAATTCTTTTTGTATTTAAAATCGTTCTGTAAAAAAGATCATTATATTTAGCTTTAATTAAGCTTATTTATGAACAAGTCAACTAAATAAAGTAATGCAAGACTTAAGTTTAATTTGCATTTGTAAACAAAAAACTTTTTCACCGGTTTCATCAATAAATTCAAGTCAAAAAGACAATTACCTGTTAAAACTTCCAAAATGAACTGCGTCACCTTCTTTGTGCATTTCAGGAACAGCTTGCTTGATTATTTGTGAAATTTCTTTGTTTGTTACGGCAGCAAACTGGGAAGACATTTTGCATGCAACTAATTAGTGAGTTTGGTGTCGCTCACTCAGAGGAACTGGAGGTGAATCAGTGAATAGTGCAGGATATTCACTGATTGAGTAGCCAATCGCAGCACGTGAAAAACACTATCCACCGTTTTAGTATATATTTAAAAATAATATTATTAACCTTTAGTTTTTGTTTTTGTTTTTGTTTTTTTTTAACAAATGTAACATATTGAATTTCCATGTATTTCTATTTGTTTTAACTTGCTGTTGTAAAAATGTGTAAATGAAACCTCAAACTGTAACATTTGGATATCTAAAATCACCAAGTTACATCTCTGACCTTTTTTGCCAGGGAGACTACACAGTTTTAGCTGCAGAGCCCAAAACTAAAGGTGAATCTACATGAACATCTACATTGCAGAATTTAAACTTTAATTTGCACAAAATGGGAAATATTTAAACTTACAGAATGCATAGTGATTGAAATGCGTGAAGAGAAAGAGCCTAGGAAAACATAATCATGTTCTCCTTTAGAAATGCTCATGCCTAAAGGTTCGGTCTAGTTAGCTCCCCTGTAATACCACTTCCCCAATGAAAAAACCACAATTAAAGGTGACTACTTCTCCCAGCCCTCCCCCTTCCTTTGTCCTCTTTGAAGACCTAGTAAGGAACACCTGGAATCAAGGTGGTGTGAACAGCCATTTTATTCATACCTTCATTACCATGATTTTAAAATTAGGTCATGCTAATCTGTATAAACCCTTATCCTTGTACCCAGATGCTACTATAAAAGTTATTTTACACCTTGGTTGACTGCAGGTTCATCAGATCTTGTGTCTTATAGGGGGTTTTGGTCAACATATCGACAGTCAACCAAGTGTCGTTGATATGTCAGTGATCTGTCGGCAGAAACAACTGACTATAAGCAGCCTATCTACCAATAGGTTATAGGGGCTGACCTCTGGCCACATATTGACCAATACTTTAGCAATACTTGACCGACAATCAACCGACAGTCAACTGCTACTTACACACCCACACTTTACACAACTCAACTGACACTCATCTAAAACTTGACCAACACTCAACTGATACTTGACTGATAATAGACCTATACTCGACTGATACTCAACCAATACTTGGCTGATACTCAACCGATACTCAAGGGATATTTAACCAATATTTGACTGACACTCAACCGATACTTGGCTGATACAACTGACATTCTACCGACACTTGATTGACACTCAATTGATCCTTGACCCATACTCAACTGATACTCAACATATATTCAATGGATACTCCACCGATATTCTATTGGCACTCAAGTAACACTCAACCGGCACTCAACCAACACTCGACTGATACTCAACCGGCACTTGACGGACACTCAACTGATACTTGACCAATACTCAGCTGATACTCCCCTGATACTCCACCAACACTCGCCCAACACTCAACTGATACACAGGGTTGTCACTAAGATTTCAAGTTGCCGCGTAAATACATCAAGTAGGTGGGGAATCAAACGGCTAGGGATTTCTTTTGGTTCTATTTTTCTTCTATTTTCCAATAAAAGTAGCCGGGGACCAGTCTCTTAGTAGCCGGGGAAAATCCCCGGCCCCCGGCTCTTAATGACAACCCTGGATACATGACTAATACTTGACCGATACTCCACCAATACCTGATGGATACTCAAATGACACTTAACTGACACTCAACCGACACTTGCCTGATACTCAATGATACTGGAACAACACTTGACTGATATTCAACCGATAATCGACTGATGCGTTACCGATACTTGCCCTATGCTTGCACAACACTCAAACAAGACTTGATCAATATTATGTTGACCAACATGTTGACTTTAAATGATATATCGGCCAATACAATGGTGGACACCTTGTATAAGGCTCAAGATCCAGTAAATCTTTGCTGTAGATTGCAAGTGACTAATTTGCAAGTATTGTACAAAACTGTTGCTCCTTTAGTGATGTCAGTTATCGTTATTTTTTTTATTAGTGGGTGTAGATATCATGAAAACTGTTTACCCAAGTAAGTGCCAGTGTTGTGACGATGTAGAAACTTTTCACATTTAATAATCATTGTTTCAGACAAAGCAAAACAATGAAATATTTGAAAAACCCTACACCTATTATTGTGAGTCATTTTAGTCATGTTAATCAGTATGTTTCTTTTATTCTCTTTGGTATTGCTTTCTTAACATTGTGGACAGTAAACAAGACAGTGGACAGGATTGCCAAAATGAGAAATGTTTAATTTAGACTGTAGCTTACAAACATCTGTATTTTACCCGAGCAATCTACAGCCGCTAATGTGTTTAACAAACAACTTTCACAGTAATTAAGCAGAACCTTTTGTTTTGTTGCAACTGACAGGTTCATCAACAGTTGCTGGGTTTTTTCAAACCATGCGTAAACAGTTCACTGCACATGAATGGCAAACAATCAAATCTCAGGAATCAGAATGGAAACAACTTGAGATGTTCTACAGACACTGGGTATGTTACAAAATGTGACAACTTTAAAATCAATGAGGGACCCTATGACCCTGCTAAAACATCAGTGTTACTATATTGTTATACCTTTGGTTCTTTTTCAGTGCCTGAAGGAGAGTTATGTAAAGGCAACTGGAACTGGTATAGGGCATGATCTACAGTCTGTTGAATTCAACATAAGCACTAATGAATTATCTCCCCAGGTAGGCGAATTGATATCAGCTTTACTATCCTACTCTTGTGGATCATCACTGCGTTAATTAGCCCTTTTTGTTGTTATTGTAATGTGAGGTAAAAAGGTAAAGGCACACATGAGCCAAAGGCCCAAACGGCCGGAGCTTATTCTTGTTCCCTTAGCACGTAGAATGCCTAGAAGTGTTGCTACTCCCGCTGGATGGGATGCTAGTCCGTAACGTTACCCCAGCAGTACGTCGCCGGTACCCATTTATACACCTGGGTGAAGAGAGACATAGTGGAGTAAAGTTCCTGGTCCAAGGAAACAACGTGAAGGACGAGGTTTGAACCCCGGACCTCCAGATCCGGAGTTCGAGGTGTTAACCGCCCGACCACACACGCCCTCGCGTTGTGGAAAAAAGATTGACCATAAAAACATACGTTTCAGGGACACGCACGTACGCATGTAAGAACCGGAAAGAATGTCAAAGGTTAATAAAAAAGGAACAAAAGAAATGTAAGTTAAAAACAGAGGAAAATAAATAATGGCCGGATGAGGGGAGCTACGTGCAGCTGCATTAATAAACTAGAGCACGTAGTTCGTTTTTAACAATTCTTTGTTTCAATAACCTTACTAATGATTCCTCACGTATACCTAATATCTTAAATAAACATTTTTCAAATGTTGGCAACATCTTAGCAAGCAAATTACCACCGGCAGAGCACCTCTTCACAGAGTACCCAGGGGCACCCAACGACAATTTTGGGAAAATATCTGTTCGGAAGACGATTTGAGATCTAGAGTTTTCGGAACATTTGTTGTAAAATTTCTTGCTTGCCTACCTCTCCGAGGATTTTCGAACATCTAAAAAATGGTATAATTGCCTATTTTTAACGGATTTTTACCCTAAAAAGGTCACCTAGAATTTTCGGAAGCCCTTTTTCTGGCTGAAATTTTCGAAAAGGTAAGTTTTGATCCCTATAATTTTCGGATCACTAGACTTTCAGCTAGGAAATCCGAACAGATGAAAAATTGTTAGGGGATAAAGATATGCCTTTATCTACCGTTTAAATACTAAAATACGTTTAACAATGCTATGTTTAAGTGGTTTTGAACTATATTCTCGTTGGGTGCCCCTGAGTACCTAAGAAAGTCAAATTCGCCAAAACTTTCGTTTTTCTTCAAACCTGTAACTCTATCTGAAGTTAAAATTCAAATTTTATCTATACCAAAAAGCAAATCGCATGAATTATACTCCTGTCCTACTCAACTTCTTAAATACTCATGCGACGTCATATCTCCAGTTCTTTCAGACATTCTTAATACATCTGTCTCTCTTGGGGCCTACCTAACAAAAAACTAAAATGTCAAAAATTATACCTATCTTAAAAGCTGACGACGAGACCGACACTTGTAATTATAGGCCAATTTCGTTATTATCAAATTTCAATAGAATCTTCGAAAAAATTATGTACGATAAAATGAAAGACTTAATTGAAAAGCACAGCCCATTATATTCGTCTCAATATCGTTTTCGTCAAGCTCACTCAACCTAACATGTTATTCTTGATATGGTAGAAACTACACAAACCAATATGGACAAAATACTCTTTTTATGTGGAGTTTTTATTGACTTAAAAAAGCCTTTGACACTGTGAATCGTACTATTTTAGTTGATAAACTAAATTATCATGGCTTCCGTGGAATTGTCAATCAATGGTTTTCCTCTTATCTATCAAATCGCACACAAACTACTGAAATTGGCTCTCATATATCTACTAAACGAAATATTAATTGCGGCGTACCCCAAGGATCTGTACTAGGTCTACTCCTCTTCTTGCTTTATATAAATGACATGCAATATTGTTCGAGCAAACTCCAATTTTTCCTTTTCGCTGACGACCCTAACGCTCTTTATCCTCAGAAAGATTTAAAGGACACTGAAACTTACAGTAAATGCAGAATTACATAGCTTGTATAACTGGCTGACTTCAAAGAAGCATTCTCTGAATGTTAAAAAATCAAACCATGTAATTTTTCGTCCATACCAAAAAAAACTAAACTATGATCCCCAGGTTAATGTTTTTGACAATGAAAGCAATAAAAAGGTTACCCTTGAACGTAAAAACTTTATTAAATATCTTGGGCGTTAGTCGATTAAAATCTATCGTGGAAGACCCATATTGGGCTAATTGCGCGATAAGACATATTTTTCCCACTTGCACCCTCCTAAATATTTATCAGTCACTAATTGCACCTTATCTAACTTACGCTCTTATCTCTTGGGACAACGCGTGTAAAACTTTCCTTGACCAAATTCTTGTCTTTGAAAAACGCGCACTGCGTTTAATTTGCTGAAACAAACGACCACGCATGCCCAATACCTTTTTTGGTGAATGCAAAAATTCTAACCTTACGGTCTCTATATTATGAATCCGTGTGTAATCTTACGTATGATGTAAATAAAAGCACTGCTCTGGATAATATTTTGAAACTCTTCCCTCGAATTTCTAGTGTTCACACTTACAACACACGTGCCTCAACCTCTCAACATTTTTATACTAAAGAACTTCGAGTAGACGTCAATCGAAATGCCTTCTCGCGTGTTGGGGTCAAAATTTGGAACGAGATACCTCAAACTGAAGACTCCTACAATCAATGTAGATACGATTATTGTGAAAATGAAAAAGTAATTCTCTTGTCCTTTATTTTCATTATATATTATTTTTATAATTCACTCATAAATTTTCCTTCTGTTCAAGTAGAGTGGAATTTATTGTAAAATATATACTTATATAACGTCTAATTTCTTTGTATTTATCCAGTTTGTAGTACATTATGTAGTCTGGCCTGCTTCGAATAGCCTCGCTAACTGCAGGCCAGTCCCAGTGTATTTTTGTAATATACTTCCTAATTTAAGGGCAATTTGGAAGCCAGGACAGGAGTCGAACCTGACCTCTTCTGAACTCAGATTTCTTTTTTCTTGTTGCCTGTGGTACTGACTAATAAAGCATTGTGCTCAACGAGAAATTCTGTTTGATAACTTAAATCAGTGGCCATGCATTAGGATCCGGACTGATTCATTTGGCGGATTGCATTTTTTGAACAATTAGAAGAACCGCCTTGTATAGCGACGTGATAGACGGTTGGAAATAAAAGTACTAATTCTTACTAGCTTTTCATAGACATACATATCTTGGAGTCTTTAAAAAAAGTGTGTCAAAGCTTGAATGCTTGTAAATAGTAGATCTTTCTAAGTTTGTACTACTCCTTATTGATTAAAACAATATGCTTGCTACTAGACAATATCTCTGAAATACTAGAGTAGCTAGAGAAAGTGTATTTTTAGGATGGCGTGGTGACTAGAATGTTAGGCTGATGTCAGGATTTACTTTTTAGACCGTGACATGCGATACGCAGTTTTTCTTGGATGAAGTAGAGATGGATGGTTGGCGATTTGAGGAGACAAAAATGGACAATTTGGTAACATGAACGTCATTGTTGTTTGAGCCTCGTCTTTTCTTATTTGGCAAGATTACCGCGTTTCTTTCACGTAGTAACATAAGTTCTCCTCTTTTCACTGTTTATTTAGCATCAAATTGCTGTCGCTCTCGGTCCTTGGCAGAATCCCGGTGAAGACAGAAGGTATTTTTTGATGACAAAAGATTATTTGTAGTCAGTACATTCAGACTGTGAGGCTGATGCGACAGTGGAAAAAGACAAGGCATGTCAAAGCAGATTGGTTATTTGCAGGCTATTTGAGTTGATTTGAGTAGTTATAGTTGAATTGCGTGTGCTTACATTCGTGTTTGTGTACAGCGCCGTACAGTAAATTTGCGTTATTGACCAAGCGTGAGGTTTAGATGGCTGGTTATTGACCAAGTTCTTTTTTGCGTCTTTATGGACCGAGAAGAAGAGGTCAATAAAAACGGATCCCAATATCTAGCCATCTTGACAAAACAATTCTTCCAGGACCAACGCGGGAAATCCCGGCGAGCAGGCAATAGACCCATCTCGTCCACTCAGGTAGCCAATCAGAACACATTATTTGCTTTATCCTATTTTTTCTCATTATGTTATTTTTTTCCTTTACAGGTCATGTTTTTCCAAATTTACGGAACTTCAGTTCGCCGATATCGTATCATCTGCTATTCCTCTTTTCCCGGAAGAACAATCCGACTGGGCTGCGTTTGAATCAAAAAGAGAAAGAGTTGAGTAAAGAACTCCGTCTCTGTCAGGGGACGAAATACGGAACATGGAACTGCACAGATATAAGATCATTCCTGCCAAGACATGCATCGGTTGGGGAAAGTATGGGTCCATCTTACAATTTATTCCCATCTTTACCTCATCAGACAGAGGTTACTTAGCGATAACAGATCTTTGTTCAATGCGTTTTGTGAGGGCAATTTTAATTGTCAAAATATCATTAAAGCCGGTTCAAATTGTTAACATTCGTACTTCCGCTAAGGTACGAACAATATCGCGATTTTTAACCCCCTCCCATGACTTCACTGTACGCACTGAAATGTAAAAGTTCTTAGAGCAAGTTGGCCCCGTATACTTAAACTGAAAAGGGAGAATTTCATAATAAATCATTATCGCGTATCTTATATTCTTAACCAACAGACGCAATCAAAGTTGGATTTATCCGTGTATTTTGTGAGTTATGGACCTTTACACTTTGTATTATATATAATAATAATAATAATAATAATATTCATACAGGATAACCCCGTCGGTGTAATAAACACTGTTTATGCATTTTAATAACTTGACCCCCTTTGATAGGGAAAATACAAAAGTCTAAAAGGTAAAATCCAAGAAAATTGTGCACGGCCGATATATAAAAAAATTTATTAACTAACTAAGAAAAAGATTTTTAGTTTCTCTTGAGAAATCAAGGAACGATTTCTTTGATTTGGTAAAAGTAGGAAGGCTGTTAAATTCCGTCGCAAAACGATCTCTTTGCGACCTCTAGGTTCACTTTCGGGGTATGAATATTATTACAGCGTCTACAGTAGTTGTTACGGGGTGTACGGACGCATTTAAATTAAAATAATTATTTGAATAGGGTGAAACTGAACCGTCGAGGCTGATTTTTTTGTTAACAAGACAATGTGAAGCTTACTCCTATTAACCAAAGGCACTAGACCCAAGGTAGAATTCAGTTCTTTAGTATCCAGACCAGACTTTGCGGCTGCATGCTGTAGCCGGCTCTCGAGAGCATCAGGGTTAACTTTTCCACACCCGTGCCAGGCCACATCACAGTTTTCAAAAATGGGTAAAATCATCGTATTGTAGAGGCGTACAGCTGCAGCCATAGATTCTCAAACGCCTAAGAGCACCCAGTTTTCTCGACACTTGGTTGACTACGTGCTCAATATGGTTGTTAAAACTCAAGTGCTGATCAATTACGACGCCAAGGTATTTGAAAGACTCGGATTCCGTCAACGAAGATTCATTGCAGGATAAGCTTATACTATCTTCCCGCTTGAGCCGTTGGTGTGCCACATATTCAGTCTTGCTCATGTGCAAAAATAGCTTATTTTCTTGCATCCACGAAGAAATGCGGTTGATGTCAGTGTTAGGGCTTGCTTCTAGCTCAATAGCAGTTTTAGAGGCAAACAACAACACTGTATCGTCAGCATACAGCAGAACTTGTGAGAAACAAATACGAGAGGGCATATCATTTATGTGCAATATAAAGAGCACGGGGCCCAAAATTGATCCCTTGAGGGACGCCAGAAGCTATAACCAGCGGCGAGGAGGGAACTTTGTCGACCTCTACATTTTTGGAAAGGCCTTGCAACTAGCTAGAAAACCAGAGAAAAGTCCTCTTACATACGCCACATCTCTGTAGCTTGTTTAGAAGGATACGGTGGCCTATCGTATCGACGGCCTTCTTGAAATCATTCAAGACCGCCCCAGTGAGAAGAGCGTCATCCATATTTCTACGGATTTCATCCACAAAAATGGTTACAGCTGTTTCAGTGGAGAAATTCTTCCGGAAGCCAGATTGACAGGACGACAGAAGATTGTTAGCATTTAAATAGCTAAAAAAGTTATATACGAGAATAGAGATGGGACGATAGTTATCAATTTCTTCTCTGTTACCGTACTTCAATAAAGAAACAACTCTTGAAGTCTTCCAATCGTCCGGCACTCCAGATGAAAAGAAATGGGTAATTATGTGAGTCAAGCACTCCGAAATAACCGGGGCTCCGTTCTTAAGCAAGCGTGCAGGAATACTGTCTAGCCCAGTAACTTTGTTCGTTTTTAGTTTTCTTTATTGGGAACAATGGTTGCGCAAAGTTGAGAGCACTCGCCTGCGCAACGTAGCAAGGTGGTGCTGTGATAACAACTTTATGATTAACCCGGACAAGACCAAACTCCTTTTCATTGGAGACAGGCAGCTGATAAGTGGATTACCTTCCAGTCCTACTGTGACCTTTCTTGGCAAGCCTCTAAAGCCATCTGCCTCCGCCAAAGACTTGGGTGTCATTCTTGACCCACATTTAACTTATAACGATCACGTCTTCTTCTGCTTTTCTAGGTTATGTCAAATTAACCGAGTCAAAGCGAGTTTCGACTCAAAACTTCTTTTATTGGTAATTTCATCCCTGGTTTTCAGCAAAACGCTCTCTTGTTCCTCAGTATGGTCAAATACTCTGCCACTAATATAAACAAGATCCAATCAATATACGACCACGTATAAACACCCTTACTTCGCCAGCTTATCTGGTTTCCTGTCAAACAATTACTACTATTCAGAGACTCAGTAATGGCTTATAAATGTTTAAATGGCCTAGCTCCAAGCTACCTCTGCAGCAAATTTGCAGGCATCCATGAAAGAATATCTTCATGCTCAGTGCAATTTGTAATTTATTTGTAGTAAACCTAAACTTTTGTAATTTTATCATAGTTTATTAAGTAAGTGATAAGTTCGGCGGAGCTCGAAATAAAGGATTCGCGCATCTCAGGAGTGTTTCAAAGTTGCATCCAGAGGTCCCGAAGTTGCTTCGGAATTAGTTCGAGATATCGTCGAGTTCTTTGATTTATGAGGAAGCAATGATCATTACTTCTGGAAGAATTAAAGAAGAAATAATTATTATTTCTGGCTTGCCCAGAGTTTGAACCGGCTTACGTGTGACCCGTCAGAGCAGATGAGACTCTAAATTGAGGGATTAGCCGATTGCGCCACTGCGACGCAAGGTAATTTAAGATGTGAAAAATAGCAATAAGTTGTGCACGAGGTACGGTTAAAGATTCGGTACGCAAGTTTGTTACTTTTCGGCTTGTTTTGGGTAGTTGACGTAGTGACACCGGAATGAGTTGGAGATATCGCGAGATCACTCCTAGTTCTGTCGGCTACAACAAATATACGAGGCGGAGCGCAAAGTATTAAAGGATTTGCGACGCTGAAAAATGTCGTAAACTTGCATTTTGTTTCCGAAGTGAAACAAAGAAGTTCGAGATATCTTGAGATCAGCTCTAGTTGTTTAGTTTATCTGAGGATGAAAGAAATATTATTTTTTGCTCCCCTTCGGTTTGTAGTTACTTATCTTTGCCCCGTTAGATAGCGGAGACGAGATTGTAGCCTGGGACCAGGTTCGGTATTAGGGGAAAAAGAAAAAAAGTCGGCGTGGGCGAAAAAAAAAATAAGCGAGCGAAGCGAGCCGAGAGGTAGTATGGGGATTGGAAAATGTGGCGGAGCCTGGAGACATGCCTTTGATGCCGCCGATCCGTCCTCCAGTAATAACTTTGTGAGTCAATTGATGTCAGCGTGAGCTTATTATGTCGCTTTGTAAAAAAAATATTTGAATTCGAGATGAAATAAGAGTTCAAGCAAAGTGATCTACTAAACTTCGACCATCAACTGGAGTAACACCAGCTTCGGTGGACAGAAATAAAGACGTTTCAGAGGAAAATTCGCTGCGCGCGACCGGTGAAGAAGTTCGCAGTTCGCATGATAATGTTCGTTGACATAGCTTCTTATAATTTTCCCAATGTCGGTCATTTAATGTTTTGAAAACCTTGAGCGTTTACCGGCCATATAGACACAGCGTTCGTCGCCATGCAAGAGAGAAACAACTGCTTGTTCCTTACAGTTGTAGCTTAAGCGCCGGCTTAAGCGGCCTCGGAGCTCAAGGCTTAGCAGTACGAAACATGTATTCTTTGCATATATCCGCATACATCGGGTTTTATCACGCCTTTGGTTGGAACTTGTCTGATTATAATGCTGTGCCTTTCAGTGAACAAGTCAATCGCTTTGTATTAAAATTAAAATGTGACCGTAGTTTGTCACAGGAGAGTATATTTTGAATGCTTCTTTTTCCTTTTGCACAGATCACAGGCATATTGTTTGCTCTTCTTGGAGCCGAGGGATAAGCGAAAAGTCTCGCTACGAATTTGTATTGCTTGCTCAAAATCCGTGTTTTTTCCGAATTCACCTTCTAAACGTCAGCTGATTTCACGCGTAGGCTCACGTGATTTTTGATGACCTTTGTTGTAAACAAACCTTGAAAGTTCGGACATCCGTTCCCTGTCACATACTGTACTTGTACGACTGAACTACGACTCGCTATTTCAAGTTCTCGTTTTCCTTCCCTTTCGCTGTTTGAGAATCAAATAGTTTAAGGTTCAAAACGTCAAAGCAGAAGATCAGGAGTGACTTAAACCGCCTCGAGTGTGTTAAAACAGGAAAATATTCGCCGGAACATGGAGCTTCAACATTAGCGCGTGGAAATCTCCTCTTCAGTTGAAAGAAAGGTTTTGCCCAATGGATCTAAACTTGGAAACAATGAGACTAATGATGCAGACACACTTATAATTCATGATACTGCAGCGGCTTACATTTTCGTCTCGACCGCCTTTGACGCGCTTAAATGTAATTATAGCTTATTCTTATCTTGCCTGAAGTTTGTATCTTCACGATTGAATACAAACCCAGCACATGTTCACGGAAGCCTGCACTTTTTTGCAACAGATATGTGAACAGCCTCTTGATTCAATTTAGCAGTTAGTAAATATTCAACATAACCGTCATCAAAAGTTTCGAGTCCCTGTTTGCCGTAATGTACAATTGGAACTTAATATGTCGAACAACAAATGGCCAAACGGTCTTTATAGCGAAAATGGATTTGAAAGTAATAACGTGTGATCATGAATTTTGAAATGTGAATTATGTATGCATTATGAAATTTGCCTATATCACCTGTTTTAGCTCTTTCGAAGTTTAGTTCCAGTGTTAAAACCATTTTAGCTACTGAGGCGGGAATTTCCCCCGGAGGGGTGCGGGGGTACTCCCATATATGGGCTATATAGGTACGTGCCGCGGAATAGGGTATTGTTTTTGAGGTTCTCGGTCCTTAAATAGGGTATCTTTTTTGACCCTTTTGTGTCTGTGTCCCTGGTGTCGTCCTTAGATAGGCCTAGGGTAGCTTAATTGTTGCTGCGGAGCGACCGTAGGGAGCGAGCAGCAACATAAACAGGGTTTAAAGGAAATATATAAGGGGCGACGAATTCTCGAATTCATCACTTTGTACCACAATGCATTGCATTTAACCACACTTTTTACCACAATGCATTGCATTTAACCAGAGTGCATTGCGCCACGAACAACTCAAATAAATAGCATCTTCGCTGACCAGACTCAGAGTTTTCTTTATAGCAAATTTTCTACAG